TGATCCTGCCCAATTACAGGATAAGGTGTTGAATATAAAGAGCAGCAGCCCAAATGCAGAATCAGGTTTTTGGGGGGAGAGAGCAACAGCCCAACTGCAGTATTATGTGTGGGTTGGGGAAGACCAGGAGCTCAACTGAGACATAATGTGTGGGGACTAAAGATGCTGGGTCCCATTGGCCAACACAAACAGCTAGGGTTCTAACACTGGAATCGAGATGGTAGAGGTTAATGGCTGGGGGGGGAAACCTGATATGAGTGACATCATAGAGATGAGAAGTCAGGAGCAGGACGAGTCAGGCAGGAGTATGCCAAGTGGTACTAGAACAGGCCGAGATGAGCAGGCAGGAGAAAACTGACTCAGTCTGTAGGAGGTGAACTTGGTCAAAAGCAAGATGAGATGAGGGGGAGGAAGGCAGGCAGGAGCAATCCGAGGCAGGTGGGAGCACACCAAGATGGTCCAGAGCAAGATGAGACGACCAGGAGGAAGCCAAGATGACCAGTCAGAAATAGGCCGAGGCAGGTGGGAGCACAGCGAGATGGTCCAAAGGAAGTTGAGATGACCAAGAGGAAGCCAAGATGACTAGGCAGGAGCAGGACGAGGCAGGTGAGAGCATGCCGAGATGGTCCAGAGCAAGTTGAGACGAGCAGGATGAAGCTGAGATGACCAGGCAGGAGCATTTTGAGATAGGTGGGAGCACACCGAGATGGTCCAGAGCAAGATGAGACTACCAGGAGGAAGTCGAGATGACCAGGTATGGCTGGATGGCCTCTTGCTATGCGGATGGAATTTCCCATGCAGGAGGAGCTGAAGAAACATTTAGGATCTGCTTGGTAGATGTTGCTTGATGTCTGGGTGTGAATCCTTGAGAAAATTCAAGCAAACCTTCAAAATCAGCTTCTGATTTGAAAGGAATAAAATATTTTTTTAGTTGCCTCATTGCTTTACCATTTCTAATGAATAAAATCTTGGCATGAGGCCATAAAAAATATGAAACCTAAAACCAAATTCATTCAAGAAGTTACTATACATCATACGTTCTGTCCAAGCTTACCTTCCGGGGGAGATTCAGTGCTGCATTGCTGATTCCTCGGATGGCGTAGGTTTGGATTACGTGGTTGTTATTCATAAGGACCCTCAGCGCATAAAAGACTTTTTCTATAAATGTGCGATCTTTGTTCTTGAAGGTCCTTCCTATAAACTGAACAGAAGAACAGAGGATAAGTTGCACTCTACGTAAGCAACCACTGAAAGTTAAGACCGACAGTAAAGTTTGACACCCCTGTTTCAGAGGGTCATTGAAACACTTGGAGGTTCATCGGTGTCCTCAGGGTCACCTGAGTAGTGTTCCTATAATCTGCAATCTTTCCTCTGGAGATCCATTCCTACTCCTGCAGCATTCAAAGGCTGTTCATCCCAAATTGCATAGTGAGAAGTCAGTAGAGATTCTTAGTCATCCAGGTCATGGTTGTCCTTTGGGACCTTTGGGACAACTACAACCTGGGTGACTGAGAATCTTTACAGACATTCCCCTTTCCTGCGTTCCCCTCCCTCTTTTCTTGGGTCTTGAAAGAAGAAAATTGAATAAAATGTATTCATCTATTTGTGAAAAACGTACCTCTGCAAAAATGCAGCATAATCCTTCCTTGCAGCCTAAACAGATATGGAAATATATGAGGAATCAGCCTCCCAGGAAATCCATCCATGGCGCACATCCTCATCGCTCTGAAAAGGAGAAATTGTGCATATTAGGAGTAGAAGATCTCCTTCCATCTGGACTAGTTGAACACCGTCTTTTCAAGCCTAAAAGAGAATTCTGTACTTTACCTTCCCAGGGAGACAAATCCTTTATGCTGCTCCTCAGGATCACTCAGCATGTCCCAGCCGTGCTCTTTGTTGATGGCCTCCAAAATGTGGCAGTCTGTCTTGCCTATTNACCCACTGGCAGAACTAGGTGTTCCGCGCCTTCCGGAAGGTTGCTAGAGTGAGGGCCAATCTAATCTCTGGGGAATGATGTTCCAGAGAGAGGCACCACGGAGAAGGCAGATATTTCTCTCTCTGGGCACAATGAGAATTTATCTGCTGAACAAAACTCCTCCTTGGTGACAGGAAGGGCATCCCACCAGTAAACATTCAGTTGCCATATCCACACTGCAAGGGATTATGAGGTCATTGAAAGATGATAATGATGATGTATCTAAGTAATCTGGTGAGCCCAAGGTGACTCTCCTTTCATCCCATTTCTAGGCCACCAGTGCTCTAGCCTACATCCTCACCCTACCCGATGCGGCTGATGCTCTCCAAAGCAAATTCCCCCACCTGCTCATCGCTCGTCACACAAATTTATTTATTCCATGAAGCAAGCAGAATGGGTCCAGCAATAACTTTCAGGTTTCAGAACAAATCAACTTCTTGATGTAAGGAATCTCCTAGGCACAGTCTGGATCCTTTCTCCATTTCTGCAACGCTCGGCAGGTGCCTACAAGTTTTCCCCAAGTCAACGTACAACCACAATGGAGCCCAAAATGTGTTATTAAGTGAAACAGTCATTAAGTGAACTTTGTCCCATTTTGCGGGGGGGCGGGCGGAGATCAGCTGGATCCTTGGCACTCACGCTTGTTTCTTTGTTTGATTTAGAACTGCCGTAGAAGCAGTCAAAAGTTTAATAAAGTGTGCCGCTTATCAGGAGCAATTCAAGGCTTTGGAGACATTGGGCTGCTGGGAAATGTTAAGGACCCCTGGACGTTTATTTATTTATTTATTTTCCATCTGGCACGGTAAGAAATTCAAAGTCAAAAGAACTTGGCAACAAGTGGCAGTGGGGGAGAGAGAGGGGGGAGGGGAGAGAGTGAGAAAGAGGGGGAGACAGGGAGACAGGGAGGGTAGAAGAGGGAGGGAAGGGGTGAGAGAGCAACTGTGAGAGGGAAAGGAAGAAAAGAGAGATGTAAGGAGACAGAGATGGGGAAACGGGGGGAGAGGAAAGGAGAGAGAGGGAAGGGGAGAGAAAGAGAAAGAGGGAGGGAGAAGGAGAGAGGGGGAAGGAGATAGGGGGAGAGGGGAGGAGAGAGAGGGAATGGGAGAGGCAGAAGCAGAGAGGGGGAGAAAGGGTGGATGGATGAGAGAGAGAGGGTGATGAATGGGAGAGGGGAAGAGGGAGAAAAAGGCAGAAGCAGGGAGAAAGAGGGGGGGAGAGAGAAAGGATGAGAGAAAGGGTGAGGAAGGAGAGAGGGAGACAGAGAAAGAGAGAGAGAGAGATAAATGAGGGAGGGAGAAAGAGAAGGAAGTGAGGGGGAGAAAGAGGGGGAAGGAAGAGATAGGAAGGGGTTCAATAGGGGGTCAGATAGCCGCTAACCTTTCCTGTGATTTTCATTAATTTATCTAAATTCAACTTCTGTAGCCCATTCAATATCCACAAGAATATTCAATAACTGCATGGTTATTTTTATCCACATTCAATATCCGCCTGGTTAGTTTTGTTTTGGATTTATGTTTTGAGGCTTCCTTTATTTATGAACTGTTGTTAAACACCCGGGTGTAAATGGAAGGTGGGCAACCATAGAGGTTCTCTAAATGGAGTAACTCATTCAATCTTTTATCGATAATTTAGCTAATGATTCTCTAGCTTGGTGATTTTCTTCTCACTAACCAGCCGATCTTGTCTGATCTCTCCATATTTGACCTTTCAGGAGCTTGTTTGCATCCTCGATAGAAGAGCTTGATATCCTGGTTCAAGAGGCCTATAAATACATCCGTCATCCGGATATGAAGGAGAAGACCATTGGGATGGATTTCTTCTCGGAGGTGAGGAGACGTTGTGGTGCACCTCAACATTCTGGAGGTCAAGGAACGTTGCCCAGGGCTCACACAAACTTTATGGTTAGAAACTGAACGTTGTAGGTGTTCCATCACTGGAGGTCTTGAAGAAGGGACTGGACAGCCATTTCTCTAAAGTGGAAATGCCGGCAAGTTGCAGAGAGAAAGGGAAAGGATCTCGGGAGACCCAAAGGGCAGGAAGCAGAGCATGGGGTGTGTTGGGTGTGTGTGAGAATACTGTGGGCCTGGGCCTGTGCTAGGCCTCCAAAGACTTCTCCCATCTGAGGCATCCTGTCCTCTGATTGACAACCCACACACCTTCGTTTAACAGCTGCATCCTAGAGAGCAGAGGGTGGGAGTTGTTAAGCAAGGCTGTTTCATTGAGCCTGCCCATTACAGTCATACAATGAGGACTACAAGATCTTTCTTTTAGGAATTGCCACCCAATTTGATCGCCTGCATTCTTGGAAGTCCAAGGTATAGGTTTGACAATATTCAGCTTTAATTTCACTTAATATTAAGAATTTCAAAATTACATGGCTGCATTTTCTCACAGTTTCCATTACATTCACTTCACCTGCCAAATTTTATTGATTAGGATCAGATCAAGAAGAAATAATCTTGTACTTCTCCTTTCCCTTTCCCCCATTCTAATTTGAAAAGTGTGTAGTTTGCTTGTCAGAAGTAACTCCTCTTAGAAAATCAGTAGTACTCACCAACAAGTGTCATACATACCTTGTCATGTATAAGAATTTGGCACTTTCCAGATGTGTAAAGATTGTTTTTTTTTTTTAATGTTGGAAAATACATTTTCACTATGTGGATTGTATTATATTAATTTAGGGAAACGTGTTTTGTGACATAACCCAGATCTTCCAAGTACTCTGCCTTTTTAGAAAGTTCTTGGAAAATCAGCAAAAGAAAGATGGAAGCAAAGTTTCAAATTAAAACTACCTTTGATGTGGTGCTATCTTAGCTGCCTGTTCTTGGATCACGTGCATTTCAATTTTGACCAAAAAGTCTAAAATACTGTAAGGAGCATTAAGATAATAGGGCATATGTTTTCTTTTTAAAAAAAATATGTGAAAAGTGTCTGCAAATCTGTAGTTGATTAAAAATAAGTTTTGTTCTTTCTCTTTCAAAGCTTAGTCGATTAAGAGAACAAATACTCCATCAAATTAACTTATTTTCAGGAAATTGGAACTATTACTTGCTTTTAAAATGGCTTTTAGCCCATTCCCCAACTCTCTTTAAATAATGCGGAATGTGTTGCCAATTGAAGACAAATCTCAGATCCAATCTCCTTCATGATTTACATAAAAGCCAACTGTGGTCATGCCAAAATTTTGGTTATTTAGCACTTTCTTCACGATCTATCACAACCATATACTGGATATGAAAAAAAGGAAAGATAAATGTCGTGTAATTATTGTAATTATCATTCCATATTGAATCAAATATCAGTAGATAACCAGTTTAGCATAAAACCTCCAAATGTCCAAAGTCAGAAGAATATTTACCATCAACATTTGCATTAAAATAAATATTCAAACTACTTCGAAGTTGATTGAGCTTTAATGACAGCCATTCCTTTCTAATTGCAGGTATATTCTACAAGCAGAGGCTTCATAGCAGAAGCTAATGGAATTTGCTTTGATTTGAGATGCTGGCTAAATCATTCTTGCTTGGAAGAATTCTGCCATGTATAATGGGATTAGCTTTCAAAGAAATGTGTTTAAGATCAAGATGCTTATTTGTTTTTCTAATACAAAGGAAGTTTCTATGCTTGCTAAAGATATTATTGTATGCATATGTACATGCATTTCATTATCTTTAATGAAACTTGGGAGGCAAAAATAATTCTTATTCCATATAAACAAAATGAGCTACATTTCCATGAGTGACCAAATAAACCTTCAAAATTACAAATGGGGCTATTATTATCTTGAGCTATTATTTACTTTTGTACTTATACTTCTATTTTTTGCTATTTTTTATGATATATAAAACTGATAGGAAGAGAGATTTTATTGTTTGGAGCATGACAAACAATATTTTGCACTTCTTCTTGTGCCATATCCTTTATCGGACGTTGGCGATCATGTTGGCGATCCTATTTTTATCAACAGCAGCAAGAAAAAGTGCTGTTGAGTTTTGTCCAAACTAGTCCCATAGATTTTGAAGCCATGATGTTCTTCTGTCTGCACCTCATTTGCCTTCAATCTTTCCTGGGAGGATTAAGTAAAATATGCATATTTGTCTGGGTGTCACATTACATGTCCAAAATATTCTAACTTTTGCTTTTTTATGGTTTTGATAATTTCCCTTGGCTTTCCCAGGCGGCTTATCACCTCCTCATTTCTGATTTTGTCAACGCAACTTATATGTAGCAGCTGCCTATAAATCCACATTTCAAATACTTCTAGTCTTTTCAAGTGGCTNAGAATCTGACCAACTGGCCATTAAGGGAAAGAGTTTAAGACAATTGGCTGCGGCCAACTCACCATGACCAACTCGCCACAGCCAACTTTCCATGGGCAACTTGTTACGGGACAAGGGTTACGCTAATATCAAAGAAATGGTAGACAAGAATCATGAAAGAAAGGACGCAAAAGGAGGAATTGAGTGAAGAGTAAATGACAAAATGATTTGTAAAAAAAATATTTAAAATAATTAAATTAAATGGTTGAATTGTCCTGGGGAGAGTTGTCCCATTGGGTAAGGGAAATACACGAGAGATAAGAAACACATTGAAGGTGGTCTGGACTTAGATGTCTTGTGGGCACAAAGGGACACTTGACTTATGACATGTTTGACCCCCTCCTTCGGGCTCCACATGGTCATCCCCTATGCATCCTTTTTTTCTCTTCGCTTTGCAAAAGCTTGTCCCATTGAATTGTCCACACATCTCAGTCTGTCTCTTCTTCTCAGAACTCTCCAACAAAGGCTTCCGAAATTTGTGGCAGAGCAAGAAGCCACTACGAGGCCAATCTGTCTTGGACTTGATGGACAAGACAGAAATATTAGAGAACCTGGACCTTCTTCGTAAAGAGGTTGGTGTGTGTTGCGGTGGGCTCGGAAGTCCACCGTGGAGAGGTTGCAGAAGCAAGGGCTGCCTCGGTGGTGATGATTATCCCAAAAGTAGACAAATGCGGTAATCGATAATTTGCTGAACTCTGGGGCCCTTGGTTTTCCCTGAACTTGGCTGTTTCCTTGCAGACATTTCATGACCCAAGTAGGTAACTTCATCAGTGCTGGTGAGTGTGAGGTTTGCTTTCCTCCCTGCTTATTCAGGAGAAGCTACGGTGTATAAACAGAGAGCAAATATCATTCCCTTCTAGAATTGAATCCGTCCCCTAGTTGGATCATGAAACATCTGGAGGAAAAGAACCAAGCTCAGATAACACCAAGGGCTTCACAGTCCTCCTCCTGCTCCTCCTCCTCTCTGCCAACCCCAATCCGTTCCAGCACTGATGACATTACCTAGTTGGGTCATGAAACATCTGCAAGAAAACCACCAAGCTCAGAGAGAACCAAGGACTCCTCATGTCAACCCTGAGCTACAAATGTTCTCTTCTCTTGGAGCTGCTAAACCAGCCGTCAGAGGAAGGATGTTCAGAAGTTCTAAAGGCCAACATCTAATATTGTGGTTTTTTTCTCCCCACAAAGCTAAAGAGAAGAAAGAGAAAAAGCCNAAGCATGGCATGAAAGAGTCCGTTCCCTTGCCAAGGCTGTATGAGAGGGAATGGGCTCAGAGCAGCAACCTAGCCCAAGGGAGAAGATCTCCAGATGCCGTCCTGCCTTTACATCCAGGTATATACGCTAGAGGGCTGGGCTACCTATAGAATAACAGCCTTGTCCTATCACATCAGCCCATCCCACACAATCAATCAGTCAATCAGAACAGAGCCGGAAGGGACTTTGGGTGTTTTCTAGTCCAAGCCCTCCACTCTTGGAGCACTCACAAGTTCTGGTGTCAAGCTGTTCCACTGGTTGATTGTTCTCATTGTTAGGAAGTTTCTGCTTCATTCCAGGTTGGTTCTCTCCTTCATTCCAGGTTGCTTCCATCTGTTGCTTCTCGTCTTGCATTTGGGTGCTTTGGAAAATAGGATGACCTCTCCTCTTTGAGGCAGCCGCTCAAATACTGAATGACTGCTGTCATGTCCTCCCTGGTTCTTATTTTCTCTAGACTGGCCATACCCAGTCCCTGCTACCATTCTTCATCAGGCAGGGAAGTTATGGTGCAGACCCCCTCAGTCAAAGAATTTCAACTTTGAAAGGGGGGGCTCAAGTGGGTTGGACTAGAAGACCTCCAAGGTCCCTTTCAACTCCTATTCTGTTCTGTTCATTCCTAACATTTTGCAATGTCTTGGGAAGACCTACCTTTAGAACCTGGAATCCAATTTTGGTCACCATAATATATATATAAAAAAAACTGATCCAGGAGAGATGCAACTTAAGAATAATAAGGAGAAATGTCCTGACAGATCAATTATCCAGTGGAACAGCTTGCTTCCAGAAGTTGTGGGCTCTTCATCACTGGAGGCTTTTAAGGAAGTCCCTTATCTGAAACGTTATATGGTTTGCTGCCTGAGCAGGGAGTTGGACTAGATGACCTCCTTCATGGTCCCTTCTCACTCTGTTATTCTGTAAAGATTTATTGCAAGATTAAACTCTCCCTGGAATGAGGACCCAGATTGTTGGTGGCAATAGGCTGACTCTGTAAACCGCTTAGAAAGGGCTGTAAGTCTAAAGCTAAGAAAGTCCAAATCCTATTGTTAAATGTCACAAGANTTTATTCATCTTTTGTTCTGCATATAGGTCTAGATATACATTTGTTCCTGAAATAGGTTGATTTGGGTTTGAGGAGTTTGCAAAATAGCACTGTCAAAGAACAGGTGTCTGTACACAATACTAATTATTTAAAGAATAATTAGCACTATAACTGTACGTCTACTATAAATAGAATATATCATAAGGCCTCTCTGGGGGCATTTGGGTGGCTAATGGACTAAGAAAATCCCATCTGCATCCTGCTCATGTAATGCTTAGTTTTACCCAACTTCTGTTAATTTTAATGTTTTAAATTCTTGTTATAGTGTAAGCTACTCAGAGTCATTCAATAGCAAATGAGTGACATAAAAATTTAATAAATAAATGAGCATCATAAGTTTTCCACAGGACTGTTGAGAGAAAAAGCCTTTTATTATGCAGAACTAAGAGATATCATATTTTAAACTTTAGCAGAAGCAATATTGAGCATCATTTTGTCTAATGTGAATATCCCCAAAATTTCAATGCACTATGTGATTGCCCAAATAATGTTAATCATTTGGAGTGAGTTCTCAATAGGAACAAAATACTACAATAAATTAAAAATTTATTGTCAGAAATTGCAAACAAGACCAATATTTAGGATTTAGTAAAAAATACGTTGGGTCCATTCTTTCACAAATAGTAGCAACTTTATTCTACATTGATACTGCATGCTAGCATACATACAAGAAACTTACTCTACTTTAATTTCCTTAAAAATAAGAACAATGCAATTAAATTACAAGAGCCAAATTTCTATTCATCTAGACTTTGGAAGCAAAAACAACCAGGTGATAAATATGGTATTTCTTCAAATTCAGAACAGACCATTCCATTGGATATGAAAACATAGTTTGAATTCTAATCACACTCTGAGATATGCTAATAGGAATCATACAATCTCTTTCAATTCAACATGATCTAAACTTCCTGATTCTGAGAGATCCACTTTTGTGAATCAACTTGGAACTCGTAATCTGAAAAAGAATAATCACGACGTCTAATGTTTCTTATCTAAAAGATTTTATTCACTGCAGTACAGATCCACTCATTAATTTTAGTTGCTATTGTTTCTCATTATAGTGGAGTAATATACATGTTAAGGTAAAGGTTCCCCTCACATATATGTGCTAGCCATTCCCAACCCTATCCATATACACGTTACTTGGAGATAACTTTCATAGAATGGAGTGAAACCTACTATATTTCCTGTCAAGGGCATTTAATCCTTGTTTCTTTTGGGGGGAACATGCTTCACCAGCATTTCAGTGGTACACTTATCAATTACCTGCATTGATGTGGAAGAGATATTGTTTAAAAAACACTTTTCATGCACAAATCTAAATAGATTACTGCAATAGTCTTGCCATAGCCAAGGAAATAAATAGTTCCCTTTAACCCTCTTTCATGCAGTCCAACATATGAGCAGCTCTTGCCTTCAAGAATGGCAATAATGATAAAGGCAGAATAAATGAAACACATAACAGAATCTGAATTTTTCCTTTAAATAAATGGGAAAAGATCTTTTTGTGCTTTTAAAATGGTTATGAAATCAAACATTACTAATAATATATCTCTTCACAAATTGTCCAAATAGCAGTTTTATCCTTAAGAGCTAAAGAGAATTTATAGAGCAAGAATTTCTGTTCACCTCAGTATAGACTGACTGAGTACATCTCAATATTGTAAATGTATTTTCCATCCATGTGGTTCCATGATTATCATCCAGAAATGATATCTAAAAGTAATTTAGTCATAAAATTATTTTCTATGATCACCATTTTACTTACACCTGCAATGGTGCAAATCAACATTTATAATAGTTCTGGTATTTCTTAAGATAAAGATGAGTATCCTCATATTAACTGAGATAACTATTGTATAGCTTATACCCCGTTACTAGTTTTCTGTTTAGTATCTTGGAAAAATCTATTAACATTTAACCAACGATTTCTAAAACCTCTTCAACAAATGTTATGTAAAATCCAAGCAGGTTGGAGTATGAAATCCTCCAGCAATTACCTTTGCAGCTTACCCTTTTAGAAGCTATCCTTGGGTTTGTTTTTTGGGGGGGAGAGTGGAGACTCTATATACCTGCCCATTTAACCATCCTATGCATGGCTTCTAAAGAATAAGATAGTATTTAAGAGATTGTTTAGAATTTGGCCTGAGTAGCTGATCCCTGGAGCTCCTGGAAGATTATGCTCTAAGGATCACATTGAAAGCTCCCATTGATACAGAAAAAAGATCTGGGCACCATTCCTGAGACTAGCACAAGGTCATTGGCCTGAGACACAATTTAAAAAAAATTCATGGTTACTTTTGGAAACACTAGAATATACTGATTTACTTGACAACACTTCAGACCACCCTGGCCAAGTAACAAATGTTATGAAGTCTTTCCAACAAGAATATCCCTGCTTTCAATTAAAATGTGAATATCAGGTACTCAATCTATTAAGCAATTGTTTTTAAGTACAAACCCTTGGAATGTGACCCAAAGAATCAAACATAAAGAAAATAACTTTTAACATTCTTCTGCAAATACTCTATTTTTCAAAGAATAAGACGCACCGCAGTATAAGACACACCAAGATTTCGAAGAGGCAAATTAAAGAAATTTTTGCACTCTGCAGACTTCCCAAAAACGTCCCGTTTTTCATCAAAAAAAAGCATGAATAGTCTTTAGGAGGTTCGGGGGGAGGGGGAGAGGAGGAATGAGCAAAAAACATCCAAGTGTTTTTTTGCAAAAATGGGCCCGTTTTTTCTCAATAAACTGACATGCATAGCCTTTAGGCGGCTTCCAGAGTGCTCTGGGGGCTGGGCAAAATTGAGCAAAAAACGGTCATATACTTGTGATATGCTACATTTAGGTTTATAATCTGTGGCTGATGTTTAAAAAGATTGATGCAATGCAGTAATTTCATTTAATAGAGACTTGCACCATAAATTCCTAAGTACTTCTACCTGGTATTAAGTATAATTGATTGCCTTGGTATAAATATAAGCAATGGCACACAGCTTCACAATGACTCCAACCTGAGTCAATTTTAAGGAAAAGTGATAACTATTCCAATTTTTAAGGTACTTAAAAATGTTTCATCACACACTTGCAACATATATGATCTTTGTAATAAAGGCTTTCTACAACAATTACATATTTTTATCAAAACCTATTCATTGATAGCCTCAGGTGTTATATGGAAATTACGTTAATAAGAGTACCTTACAAATCAAGCATGCTACTGACAACATTACATGTGAATGAATACAAGCATACATATAATACATACTTGAAACATTTTTAAGAAAGTTTAAGTGAAGACATTATACCATTTATATCCAACTTGTCTTTGTCACAACTCACATGGAGGGAAGAAATAGCTAAAGATCTCAATCTATATTAGACACACCCTTGAAGCAGTAAGTACAATCCAAAGAGAAAAAAATGTGCAGTGATTTTTTCAGCCCTTCCTAACAGACTTCCTCTTCTTCTTCTCTGAAAAGCTAGGGAGGTCATGCTACTGAGAAGCAAAATTCAATGTTGTATGAAGGGCTGCAAAGCAAAATAAGGAATACTTTGCCATTACATTTAAAGCAAAGTCCACCCATATGTGTGCAAGGGTATTTTATTTCAGCTGAAAAGTATACCTATTTCTGAAATGTGTTCGATTTCTTTTCCAATGTATTACCTTCACTTTTTAAAGCTTTCATAAATAAGAATGTAAAAATGGAAGAGACAAACATCAAATTATTTTTAAAAGGTTGTTTCAATAAAATTTTAATGATGATTCAAACATGGGATAGGCAAAAATAGAACCGTGACTCAAGCAGAACGATGCACATTCAACATACGAGACTGCAGTTAAGTCTTCTATTTTAGGGGAAATGAAATGTATTGGATTACATCTTTACAAGCAGCACATTGTATTAAGGACGTGAATCATTACTACAATGGCTTTTGTTTTCCCTTGACAATGTTACCATTCAGGGTCCTAGGACAGAGTAGTATGCAAGTTTTTTTTAAAAAAAAAATCATCAAAATTTCAAACATTACTTCTTCATCAAGAAGGCAGAAAGAAAACAGCACCACCTTCCATCCACACAGAAAGACACACAAACATTTAATGGTCTACAGTTAATAGCACTATGTAATGTACATGTAATAACTGCAGCTGATTTTTCTAGGATGAGAGAAAAGATAAATTCCAAAAGAAAGCATTATAGGAGAAGAGAAAAACTCAGAGAAGAAAGCAATACAAAATGTAAAAACTGCAAACTGAGCAATGGCTTTAGCAGTGTTTCGGCTATGTAACAAAGGGTTGGGATTATGGCACATCAATGGAGGTTTGGTCTCATTTAAAATCGTTTTCTCTTCATGATTTCAGGTTTCCAGCTAACAGGATGAGTTTCTTCAGTCTAGAGAGATTAAAAGAGAAAAAAAAGAGTTCTAGCCCAATTCTAACTTTGCAAATGCTACAGTTACATATTTCCTAAAACTGGCTCTAGGAATTTCTGAATACAATCCCAAATGATATACCAATTTAACTACTTTGGCCTTTCTTATTTAGTCACTCGTATTGACTTCCCAGTCAATCCCTAGCTGAAGAGGAACTCAAAGCCATATCTTCCGTATAAATATTCTCCATTTCTTTTTAAATTTTAATGGGAAGAGAAAGGCACTATTGGTATGAAAACACAAATGGATTTATTTCCTATTTCATCCATGATTAACAGTTTTGGAGAAGAATTTAAAAAGTCCAATTGAAATCTTTCACATAAACCACAGCATCAATTAAGAAACATAAGAATTACAATTGTTTTTGAAAGTGTGTGCTCTATTTACTATTTTCATTAATCAGATATTTTGTTAACTAGTCTAACAGTGATTTCTTGTCATTTGTGAACTACCAGAATTTGACCAGTTGGTTTGTTTTGATATATCTTCCTTTATACATCACAACATGCTGCCATACTAAATGTGAAAGCAGATTGAAATATCATAAATTTATTTGGAAATAAAACCCACAAAACTAAGTTGAACTTATGAGTAGATATATGTAAAATTGTTCTAATTGTTCTATAAAGTGTAATTCACTGTTTTTTAAAATGCAATCATAAATACATATTTTGTTAGCCAAACTGAATAAATATCTGATCACATAATGTTCTCAGTTACTTTACTGAAACTGAAGAACAGAATGCAAAAGCATTTATTTTATTGTATTACTGGAAAGTTTCTATAAAGCAATTGAACTCAACTTATAAACCATATTTTTAAAAAATAATGTTTCCACTGGGGTAAAATGTTGTTTGTGAACCTTATTTAATAACTGCTTAACATTAAATATGCTTTTGAGATTAATTTCAGAATATGTACACTGTGTATCTTCAACCTAGTTTTATGCTGTAAAGTGTTATTAAAAATATAACATACCGCAGAATCATCTTCTTTATAGACTTTTATAGTTTTGTCAGCTTCAGCTGTAAGAAGTCTGCTTTCAGATTGGTCAAATGCACAAGAAAATATTCCCGATTCACTGTCCAAAGAGCCAGGCTGTACAGCTGCATGCACCCTCTGGAAGTTGTACCCAGTTCTCCAATCCCAAAGGTGCATTGTACCGTTGTCAGCTGAAAATAAAACACCAGGATATTCATTCAAAGTCACAATTCAAGTATACAGCATAGTTATTCTGAATACATCCACCATAATCTAGATCTGTTTGCATCCACACAATTCATTTCTATACAATAAGATTAACAATCCATCTCTGTGCCCCTCTGATTTCATTAGGATTGACTTCTAGAAAAAAAGATTAATCATCACAAGTGCTCTACCAAGATATAGTATTTTATTTTCCTAGAACTTGTACTGATATTATGTATGGGAAAATAATGCTTGCTATCTGCAGTTAATATATATTGCAGATAGTCTTCTAGTCTTGTCCATTTGTAAGTATTGGATTATATACCCGTTGTGGCTCGGTAGGAGCCTTTGGAGCTGCTATCAGTGAGTGGTTTCAGGATGCTCACAGGAGAAGATAACAAGCAGCTGTGGCTCGTTAAGGATCTCCTCCTGNAATTTCTACTGAATAATTAATGTAGAAAATATGCATATATTTATGCATATGAATACATGTATAATAAGTATGTAAATATGTATCTGAATATCTGAAAAGCTCAGGAGGAGTTTAGCAAGATGTTAAATATATTCTGAACAATATCTGGATGTTCAAGAAATTTTCGTATTTGAACTGATACTGCTTTCTTTTAACCAGGCACATATGGACTTTACCGTGTAGGATCTAGTTTATTTGACTAGAATTTCAAGATCATTGACTGAACTCAGAAGAAAAATAACAGTTTGAACAAAAAGACATAAGTTAAGAATTCACAAAGAATCTACCCACAAGAACCCATCCTAGCCACTTATGATTAGTAATGGAACCAGACTCAAGTTCTGAAAATAGAAATTAACTTGGTTTTCTTTTTCATTAGTTTGACTTGGGGTTTAAAAACTTTTTTAGTTATTACAATTTTCTGCATAGCTGGTAGTCAGATACTCTGCCAATGTATTTTAAAACATCTAGATATCTATTATTACATTCTGATCTATATTTAATTATCTCTGCCTTAAATCAATGACTCAAGTCAATGACAAGCCTTCAGGCAGTTACAATTCATTGTTTCAGCCCGCAGGTAACCCTCTCTTTAAAAGTGGGACACAAATCCAATAAAACAATCCTAAGCATCTCTACAGTTACTATCATCTAATAGTGACCATATGGTTACAAAAGGTGTTTCTTGAACAAGGGTTCAGGATTATTAAAGCCATATCTGTATCCATCAACAGCACACTTGCACACATGTAATTGTTACCTACCTGGGTTTTGAAGATACTGCTTGTGTCCATAGGACTCTACTATGCCATGGGGACCCTTCTCTCGAACACATTCTTTCAATATAGGCATATGTAGCACAGATCCATACTCTGTACGGAGTTTAACTGCCATCTTAACCTTGTGGCTGCACAAAAACATATTTTATTACATCTTTGTTTTTTAACATATGTTTTACTATAATAACACCATACCTCAGTAGAGATTCATAAAGTCTGATGTAAACATACTTATGCCATGCGCTGGCACACAATTTTTTCCTCCCAAATACCACTTTCCTGTATTTTCTAAATTTGAATGAAATGCCAAAGTCAATTCGGATTATTTAACATACAATAACTTGAAGTTTATTTAACTGCATTAATTAAGGGGAATCATTCCATTTTTCCATGGTATATAGCTCTGAATACTGGACTGAGTCAAGACTTCAGAATTCAAGCTATGAACAATGCCAGTGGTAGAAGCTAAAGTGAGGTAAGGAAAAGGAAGCATTGGGAAGATGNTTCGTCATCACGACACTATAGAAACTAGCTTTCATCAAAGATCCTTTATGGCACACAAAAGCCATCGGAAACAGAAAAGATATCTATTTACATACTGCTTGTTTTGCTGTTTGATGTAAGTCCCTATTTTACTCCCCCTCTTAAATTATCAATAGTAAATAACGTCTTGCTGAACAATTACAAAGAACATAATCAAATGGAGCACACTATCATGAATCAACAAATATCACTGTGTTTTGCAAATGAATCTAAAATGCCATTTTGCTTTCTTAGCTGATTAATAAATGCAATATAATTACTTGGATTGAGAAGATGGCAGTGCCACAGCTAATGATTGAGATGCTGATTCACTAGGCATCCTTTGGATTTTAGTGTCTGCAGTCAGAGCCACTCCTGTTTTTTTTTTAAGGAAAGAGAATATAATCAATTACAATAAAATTAACAACTAAATGCTTATTCATGTTACAAATTATATATTTAATACATGTACCATTTTTCATTTTGCAACATATAAAGGAACAATGATCACTTCTCCAAGCAATTATGGAATCAGGGAACAAAGGGAATTCTATGTGAAGTTTTTCCCTGGTAACAGATACGTTATATATTGAAAGATTGCCCATTTCAAGTATTATTCTATCTGCTTTTTAATTTTGAACGCTTTTAATTTATTGCAGTTTCTGGGTATATGGCTAATGTGGTCACACAGATATTTCAACTGCTTAGTTTCATAGTACTCAGCAAAAATAATCAGTTTTTTAAATTTTAAAAAAGGTCAGTTTCACAAGAATTCTACAAGAAGTTAAAACATTAATTCCATATATGAGTTTGGAAATTCAGTGACTGGAAGCAGAGATTAAAAACTAAATTCAGATTAAAGAATTTGTGATCTGTAATGTATATAACACATGAATCTGAATAAGATTTTTTTGAAGCTAGAAATAGAGAGATAGAGAGATAGAGAGAGAACATGAATAGATAAATGAACAAAAAAATATATATATTCCTAGTTTAAAAGTTTGAAAAATATCTGGCAGCCTGCTAATTGTCTTAATTCAAAGTATACCAAGCAAGAAGCAATTCTGTTTGTTTGTCTCAATGTCTAAGAATGGGTGAATTCTTCCATGAGGTTGCTGAGCTTCTAAAAAGAATGCAGAGAGGAACAGCAAGGTGGGGAGTGTCTTGCAGGCTAAATCTTACAAATACTTCAAAAACTGGGTGTGTTTATCTTAAAGAAGTCAAAGTTAAGGGATGACCGATAGCAGTCTTCCAATATTTTGCATAGGAAGACAACACAGACTTATTCTACCCTGACGTTAGGACAAAAACCAATAGATATTTGGTTTTAGTATTTACAGATAGAGATCCAAATATGAGGAACTTTCTTACTATTAAGCAGTGGANTTGTTGAAATAAGTGTGCATTGCTGACTTTAGGGAGAAAAAATTGAAAAACTGACATGATGCACTACCCCTGATGGACCGCATGACTGTTAGCTTTGGGCAGGTTCAGCTCCTTGCCCACATCAGATTTCAGCAAGTACCAAAATTTGCAGTAAATATATTCATTTTTTGCCTTTGTGCAGGAAAATCTTACAAGAGAAAAGATAAGGACATTTTAAACTAGAAAGGGGAAACTTGCGGATTCCCAATGTCACAGCGTGGTTACTGGTTAGACATTATATTCCCCTGATATCCTACGGATAGCCACAGGTTAGTGGTCCAAAAATTAAGGGTCAAAATAAATTGGAAACCCATATTAAATCCTTCCATCTCTGATGTTCATGCTAATCATTAAGTCTGCCAATAAATTCTAAATAATCAGAGCTTTAGAATAGTCCACGAAAGACAGTGCTGTATCATGAGTCCTACAGTGCATAATAGCAAATTAGAATTTGTTTACAAATCTTATGCAAATTTTAACTTACCTCCCGAAACCAGGACTCCATCTGAGTTCACAGCCAATGTATTGATAATAGCACTATGGCCAGAAAGGTTTTGGATGAAATTTCCATCAGGGAATTTCCACTGTTTTATATTATCTGGAGATCCAGATGCAAATGTGTACCTGCAAGAAAATGTATATTAAGATCTTAAAAACTGTTGGATGTCTAATTAATCAGCATTTAATTATTGATTGTTAAAGTTACCAGGGTTTATCATAGTTTCAATGTTAAATTATTTCCTATGAATTATTTTTGGTGGCAAAGAAACATGGCTTTCCAGATATTTTTGAATTACAACTTCCAGTGATCTGAATTCACATTAGTAGTAGTAAAACTATATGGAAATTGACATTCAGCAGGAACTAGGAAGTGTATGTTCTTCACCCAGTAATTTAAGCACTGTAGAACTGCTTACTGTACGTATACAGCATACAGATAGATTCTGTCCACTTTATCTTTATATTACTTAACTAGGTTTCCCCTATCCAGTCCTACTCTAGGGAATGGTGCTTATCTCCATTTCCTAGCCGATGGAGCCAGCATTGTCCGAAGACAACTTCCATTGTCATGTTGCCAGCCTGGTTATAAACCAAAGGCATACAGAACACTGTTACCTTCCCACCAAAGTGGTACCTATTAATCTACTCACATTTGCATGATTTTAAATTGCTAGATGGGCAGGATCTGGGGCAGGAACAAGAGCTCAACACATTGCATAGCACTTGGGTCTCAAACCCAGGCATTGAACTTTCCAGCTAACAAACTCAGCATCTTTAACCACTGAGCCATTGTGCCCCTTGATACTTTACTCAACTAAAGATAATAAAATCAAAGATTTACTGTATGGGAATAAATCCACCAAAATGGGTCATATTTTTTCCACATAATAGCTCTATTTGGTCAGTAGACACTATGGCTTAATTTGCACATCTAACCACTCTCAGTCTCTTATTGAGATGTAAAAGGGGAACAACGCCAGCAGAAGACATACTGTTTTCATCTGGGTAAAGAAATGAACTACCGGTATTTAAATCTAAGAATAAATACTCTTCCTCACTGATGATAGCAATAGCAGTTAGACTTATATACCACTTCATAGGGCTTTCAGCCCTCTCTAAGCGGTTTACAGTCAGCATATTGCCCCCAACAACAATCCGGGTTCTCATTTTACCCACCTCGGAAGGATGGAAGGCTGAGTCAACCTTGAGCCAGTGAGATTTGAACAGCCGAACTGCAGTCAGCTGAAGTAGCCTGCAGTGCTGCATTTAACCACTGTGCCACCTCGGCTCATTAGTGAAACACAATCTAAGAAAGGCTATACAAGATTATAGTTTTAATCTTATATACTTTAATCTTGTTCTGCTGTATACAGAACCAACTTTTGCACAAAACCCTCGGGTCTTAATGAAGGAAAATTTCAAGCAATGATCAAAAGCTCACAAGGTCGTGGGACATTGCAATAATACATTGCTCTAATAGTTAAAACTACTAGAGAAATTAAACATATTATTGCCTTAAATAGGCAGTACAGTATTGTGTTCATGACTGGCAGTCTGATTTATCTATAATAAAAAAGGTTATTTACTTTTTTAAAAGCCTGTTTTAAAAAAAAACCATGGAAAATCTTACTGTCTTGGATGCAAGACAACTGCTCTTACGGATTTCTTGTGATTTGTTAACGTGACCCGTGTTTTCCCTGCTACCATGTCCCAGAGACGTATGGTGGTATCATGACTTCCTGCAATGAAGAAATGAATTTAAGAAGTAATATAGATAAGTCCTTACACCACATTTTGTTTTTGCTTAATGTTTCTGTTTCCCCTGCACTTGAAAATCTTCCTGCTGCTTTGAGTCTTATTAAAATAAGAAAGGTGGTAGAGATATACTGGTATTACTTCTGGCACCCCACTGCATGCTCCAGTAATACAGAGATCATACAGCATGCCGACAACAATTATGACCTTGGCAGAACAGTACCCTCTCTGTTCTACCATAGCTCCAGGGAAAGTCCCCGGAGCCACAAATTGAACTGCTGCAGATACATATTCTAATTCATTTGTGGGCCCTATTCATATGGCCAAAGCAGTAAAAAGATGATTTTCTGAAAGACCTTCTCTTCCTTTGCAAGGCAGTTTTTCAAATCTTAAATCTATTTGCTTGAATAAGTACTTGCTGCAATTCAATAACAACTGTGAAAAGCATTCAAGATTCTCATGCTTTCAATATATTTTTTAAAGCAATTCTGGGTAGTTATAATTGTTTATATCCAGAGGTTCTTAGCTATATGCAGAATTATTTAAAACACTGACATATTTGAAAATCACAAATGCAACAAATGGAAGCATTTTATTAAACCATAAGCAACTGCGTGGAAGTTGGCTACAGGACCAACTTACTGAATTATGCATTAATCGTACCTGTGATAATCTGTGGCTCTGCTGCTTGGCACTTCACTGTTGCCACAGCATTTGTGTGTCCTGACAATGTATGCACACTAGCTTTTGTTCTTACATCCCAAATCTAATAAGATCATAAATTTAAACAATTAAGTACAATAATGCAAAGGTTATAAATAATCTTTTATCAAACAAACATTTCCATTTATATATAATTATGAGTTTATCATGCAGGATTCTGCTGACCTTAGTATCACTTATGAACTCCCATATACAGCAAGGACAGTATTTGTGTAGGAAAATAGCAGACACACACAAGCACTTCCTGCCATTGGCATGGTTTACTATTGTAAGGAGCAGAACTGAAACTGCTCAACTTTTTTCTGTATGCCTTTGAGGGATAAAGCATGGATTACAACAATTTGCAGCCCCAGGGACCTCCCTTATTTCTACTCCCAACCCTTAAAACAAAAAAATATTAAACAGTACTATCCCAATTTGGTTATTTTGCAAAAGTATTTCAATGGCACAATCCTGGGATTACAAATACATCAGATAATTCACTTTCCATATTTAAAAATCATTCTTTTTTGATTAACTGGAATTAATAGAATCTGAAGATTTTAAATAGCTAATGACAAAAAAAAAATCACATTAGTTTCCACATGGACAAACAAGGTTTATATTCATATATATATATATGTACATTTCTGCTTTACTTACACGTGCTGTTGAATCTCTGCTACAAGTTACAAGCACATCTATTGTTGGATGCAAATCCAAACCATACACAGCGCTGAGATGGCCATGGTAATGCCTAATAACCTGGATGTAAACATATTACAGTCAGTACTGAATGTTCTATCATCATTACATTCCTGAAAGATTCCAACTCTTTCAAATTTATTTAGTTACCTTATTATATTCAAGATCCCAACATTTCACCTGTTTGTCTTCCCCACATGAGAAAAGATAAGGACTTCTTGCACTGACTATTACACCTCGAACTGTACTAATATGTCCTGTTAAAGACAGTTTTAATTTGCCACTTGCAAGATCCCAAATCTGTAATGAGAAAAATACATCTTTGGTGTTCTTTGAAACAAAACACACAAATGTCTGTTATTCTAATTGAGCAACATCTCAAGGATCTTAGTAGAATACAAAATACATTCCTTCAGGATGGTAGAAAGACTGAAACAATAGTTTACCAATCCGAGTTTGGGATTACTAACATACTTAAACAATTTGGCCTACAGGCAAAGATAGAAGGTAATAAAATATACTGAAGTGGATATTGCTAAAGCATTATTATGAAGTATATTAGCGAAAGAATAAAAAAAAGTACTGGACCACAATTAAGTCAATATCTCACCTTTATAGTCCTGTCAGCAGAACCAGTAACAAACCACTGATTCCCTGGTTCAACTGCAATACATCTCACCCATCCCAAATGTCCACTGATCACCTGCAAAAGTTACAGGGCAATTTATCAATTTAGATAAAATATCAACCGACAGCTTAAAGCAGTTACATAACAAAAAGTTTGTTTGGTCATACAGCTTCAAATCTACCGGTAACTGTAACGTTGCCAATTTTCAATGAATAATGATTAAGAGGGTTCCAAAGGAAATTGCAAATCCCATAGGATGCAGGTTGCCCAGTTCTGCACTATCATTATGTACAAATAGCAATAGCAATACAAATTATATATCAGTCTTTACAGCACTCTCTGGAAAGTTTACAATGTCAGCATATTTTCCCCAACAATCTAGATCATCATTATACCAACCTTGGAAAGATGGAAGGCTGAGTCAATTTTGAGCCAGTCAGGATCAAATTCCTGCAATACTACATTCTAACTACTGAGCCACCGGGACTCCCACACTGCGCCACCGCAGCAGATCCATCCATGATCAGGAATTTGTAAACTATGTTAATTTCAAATTTTATTTGAAATAAGATTGTTTTTGTTGCTGCCTTCTAGAGCAAATTCTTTTGCAACAACTTTTGTCTATATAATCCATAGAACTAGATTAAAAGTATCAGTATTATATCAGTTAAACTTCAACTTGGAGCTGTGTCCCCTCACTCCCCCCAAGTTGCATCATTTTCATCTTGTTAGGTTTCCTCCTTGATGGTATAAATTGTCCATATCTTTCTTCAATTTTAAAAATGAACTTTTGTTAGTCTTGTTTGGACTGTATTTAACAATGTGTTGCCTTGCCTACTATGGTTGTCACATCATTTTGTAAAAGTAANGCCGTCACTAATTTCCTTTCGAATAAAGCCCCGGACGCGTCCAAAGAGTCGGAAGGGAAGCGCTCTTCCTTTCTTACCTCCACCATGATGGCAGCCGGCTTCGGTAAAGCCGCCCGTTGCGGCTTCGGCTTCCCCCGCTCAACGGCAACGCACAGCTCCCACTTACACCACAACCGAGTCTGTTACCAACAGTCGCTTCCGGCAACGGTCACCGGCGCGACGGAAGTGACGTTTCCGCTGCTTGCATCCGGGAGCATGCGCAAAAGCTCGCAGTCTGATTGGCGGCGCAAATGCGTCCCGCCTTTGGATGTGATGGGAGGGCGGGGGACCGTAGATGCGAAGTTATAGTCAGGAGCTGATGTTCCCAAACTTGGCCGCTTTAAGACTTGTGGACTTCAACTCCCAGAATTCTCCAGCCAGCAGAGCTGGAGAATTCTGGGGGTTGAAGTCCACAAATCTTAAAGCGGCCAAGTTTGAAGACCTCGGTTCAAGAATTTCAGCCGGTGGCGGGGGGGAAGTCTTCTTAACTGCAGAAGCAGCCACGGAAAACCTATAAATAAATCATATTGCAATAATTTTCGTATATTAACAGTTCAAATGTGTGAGATGAATTCTCATGGTTCCTGCCTGGAGGAGTGCAAGCTTAAGCCCTCTTGAAATTCGGTTGGTCGCTTACAACGGGGGTTTCCCAATCTTGGTAACTGTTGAGTTGTGTGGACTTCAACTCTCAGAATTCCTCAGCCAGATTGGATGACTGAGAAATCCTGGGAGTTGAAGTCCAGGCGTCTTAAAATTGCCAAGATTGAGATTTCCCCTGGCTTACAAAACACAGAAGAACGGATCGCAAGATCCACGTTCTGCTCCGTCTCTCCCAAGTTCCGGATTTGGTTCAAAATCAAGAGTTTGCAAGACTTGTGAACCAGAAAATTCTAAATTTTAACTTTTCTTTAAAAAGTAAAAAAAAAAAAAAAAGGGTTTGTCAAAAGTTAAAACTAGTTTTGGTGCTATTAAAGAAATGGAAAACCAGCATACTTCTGTAGGCTAAAATATAATAATAAAGATCTACCAAGCATTTTTTGCAGCCATTCCTCCAGTCTTTGTACTTATTTGTAGCCTATGACTATCATTAAGTGTTGTATCTTATGATTCGTGACAAATATATCTTATTTTATGTACAATGAGATCATATGCACCAAAGACAAATTCCTTGTGTGTCCAATTACACTTGGCCAATAAAGAATTCTATTCTGTTCTGTTCTATTCTGCAGAAAAGTGTGTTGGCATGATCTGTGATACCCTGATAAGCTCTAATTTGCGTTGGTAACAAGGTTTGCTTAGTAGAGGATTCCCCGAGATAATTGGTCCTTAAAGAAAGTCTGGTTTATCTTTGGGCCAGAAATTATAGAATTGAAGTAGCTACACCACCTGTTAAGGTCGAGTAATTTTAGACTTTGGATAAAAAATGCTGACGTAATCTATGGAAAATGAAAAGCACTTGAAACAGAAAGGTTGCTAGTATTTTTTTTTAAGGGAGATTTAATGGAGTGATTTTTTTTAAAGGCAGTCTCCTATGCAATTCAGATATTCAAAAGATAACAAAATATATATTTACAGCATTATGAACTTTGCATAGTATTTTAGAGTTGCATACAACTTTGTACAACTTTCATCCTCTGGCTTCATGTTATATTTTGGAGCAGAAAGTGCCATTACAGATTGTGAACAGTAGAGTGTGCAGTTTAGCTTGTTTCACAGCAAAGTACCAAAAATCAATTATACCAGTATCAAAAGATGGGGCCTTCCCCCCACTCCAAATGAAGAAAAAAAAATCCAAACTGATGAAAGATTTAGGTTGGTTGTGGGTTGCAGTTCAATACTTCCAGAGGCTATTAGCTTTAGAACAATTAATACTACAAACCTGTATAATTTAAATCTCAAGATTTGTTGAATTTATCAGAGCTTGAGTATAAAGATGATTGTTTCCTAAAAAAGGAGTATCATGCTTTTGCGTGGCATGACAAAACCGCGCTCGACTAAAGCGCGCCCGATTAAACCGCGTCGCTGACGTCATCAACAAGGCGACAACAGCGAGCGCGGAGAAAGAAGGGCACTTTAAATAGTGCTTTGAAAGCAAGCCGATTCAACTTAAGGTAAGGGTTAGGTTTAGGGTTAGGTTTAGGGTTAGGTTAAGGGTTAGGTTTAGGGTTAGGTTAAGGGTTAGGTTTAGGGTTAGGTTTAGGGTTAGGTTAAGGGTTAGGATTAGGTTTAGGGTTAGGTTAACGGTTAGGTTTAGGGTTAGGTTAAGGGTTAGGTTTAGGGTTAGGTTTAGGATTAGGTTTAGGGGGGTTAGGTTAGGTTTAGGAGTTAATTTTAGGTGTTGCGTTTACAGCGTGCTTCTGTCTCCGCGCTGTTGTCGCCCTGTGATGACATCAGCTACGCGGTTTCGTTGAGCGCGCTTTAGTCGAATGCGGTTTTGTGGTGGAACCATGCTTTTGTTGCTAAATGATCATCTGCAAATAATTGGGCATCTGTGGGAAGAAAATGTGTAAGATGCAATGGTCAAAATGGGCAAATTTCCCATTTAGGAGTAGGATTTGCACCACAATGCTATTGCATGCATTTTATAATAATTTCAAATCCATGCCAATAACCAAAATATGTGATGACATACAAAATGCTAAGAAAACTAGGTTGATCACCAACAATTTCAAAATAATCACATATCTAATAATTTTTGCTTAATGGGTTTTAAGATTTTCCTTAAAATTGAATAATTTTCATTAAATACACTTGAGTATTTAATAGCTGTGACTAAGAGCTAGCCTGATAATTGTATCATTTTTTTAAAAATCAGCTGTTGATTGTGTGTATTATAAATATGGAATATAAAAGCTGTCTTTTTTCAAACAACTACTTAAAAATGTATGTTGTGTAATCCTGTACTGTGTGCTGCTACCATATTTATTCAGCTGGGGCAACTGAAAACTATATATTAGTCTTCACAAAGTGTTTTTGGTTGTTTTCTTTATATTGTGATTACATTAGATTCTCATTTACAAGAAGCTACTGCTGCAACTTATTGTTGTTTTTAGATTACAATTCGAGATATAGAGATAGACTGTTTGCTTTGCTGTTTTAAAAGTCAGAACAAACTTGCAACACCATTTGTGAAAAAAATACTTTTAAATGAACAACCAGAGGAACTGGTTGGCTTCCCCTTCAATATTGCTTATATTTGGTCAAAAGTCTCTGTTCCCGGTGCTATGTGCAAAGGCATTCTGATATGAGAGTCACCGAGAGGTGGCCTTGGCTCATCTGATAGATACGGCAGGATATTTCACCACTGTTTGAATAAACCCAGCAAGGCAAACAATGCAAGTTAGCATCTCTGTCCTCCACTGGCTAAATAAATAACTTGGTAAATGAATGAAAAACCAAGGAAGAACAAAATGCCTACCAACATCTTTACCTCCACTTCTGTTTACATGGAAAACACTGTTCTCCATCTAGTTTTAGCAATGCAGCTTATTTACATACTCCATTCTCATAAAAAGCTCAGGCAAGACAATATGCTACATGCTTAGTCATAATAGTTCAAAGAAACCATGATTTTCCTGTGTAATCTTTCCCTGATTTGAACTGCATTAGTAGATATTTCTTTACATGCTATTGCAGTTCAAATTAGGCAAACAGATTACATGGGAAAATCATGGTGGCAAGTATTGTGCAACATTGGTCAACAGGATAATAAATATAGTCAAATGATTTCCCCTAAATGCCGCAAGGCATTATTTGTGGCCTAGCTGAGAAAACTATTTTGTAATGTTAACTTTGGTGCACGGTGTACTACTTCAATCATTGTCTATTTTACTTTGCTGATCTTATGAGTCATTGTTGGATGCTCTATTCCACATTTTCCTGTTATAACACTAGGACATCAACAGGTCAAACTATCTATATTAACAGATCAATCAAATATATTTAGGAATGGCTAATGCAAAAACATCAAATGTGACATTCTTATATTTTATATTACATATGTTTAAATCTCAGGGTGCTAATTAAATTCTGCTCCAAAGACTTTATGATAAATATACCAGAAGTGGTTAAGATGTTGCGCTAAAAATGGGAAGACACAGGTTTTAGTCCACCATCAATCATAAATTCGCTGGTTGTCTTGGATGAAATAATATTTCTCAGCACTTTCTGTTTCATGGAGATGTGGGAAAATTAGGAAGAAGGAATGATGAACAGTATATATGTTTCCTTAAGTTCCTCAGTGTAAGGCAGACTATAACATAAACAACACTTTTACACATTCTGGCAGTTTCCAGATTTCCTTCCCAACCTCAACATCTATTAATTTATGGAATTGGATCATAAGTCCTTCATTGGACAGGATGCCATAGAAGGAGTATTTTTGAAAATAATATTGGCGGATGATTTTCAAGTCTTTTAGCTGCAGAATCTTCTCTTCATTATATAACCAATAATTGAGCAGGCAACACTACAATAAACCTGCATGCATGATAAAACTATATAGCCATCAAATTTTTATTTTCTCAAAGATCAAGATACTACTGTAGTCACCTACAGCAGTATTTTGAACAGTAGGATAAATTCAGTATCATATAATGGGCCCTACCACTCTTTTAGCTAAGAAAGATTAGCCTAAGAAAGATTATTGCTGTATAATATAGACTTGGGAACATTTCTCAAAGTTGAGATGGCTATTGACAATCATCTGCAGAAAACTTGAGTTTATGTCAGGAAAAAAAACCATACAACAATACCATATCATAAATCCAGACATTATGTACTTCCATCCTAATTCCTGATTCAAACATGAGTTCTGGTTTTTTTGTCATTTCCCTCCCCCTATAACAGTTACCATTTCTTTTGCCCAGATTTTTTTTTAAAAAAAAAATGTGGTATCCAGTATATCAATGACCATGGGATTTGATTATTTGATTTAATCAGAACAAAATAACATGTGAATTCCCAAACATAACCTAAGTTTCTCTGAGACCTTGTTTTTTATGCAGGGAACAAATTTGCATTTACAATTGTTTTTTCTTTATGCAAGCCTTAAAACTCAATTGTACAGTCAGGCTTGTAATTGACAGACAAATTAGGTTTTTACCTGTGGTTCAGATTGAAGTGTCACTTGACAGTACAAATCGTACTGTAAGGAAACATCTCTAAACTACAGCTGAAGTTGCTATTGGTCAAAGATATAACCCAGATTCAAAGAAGCGAGTTGTGCTAAAGCCCCACTGAATACTGATCATTTTGAATCACCTCCATTTAATTTCTGTAAATGAGCAGAAACTATATTTTAAAAACTTTGTTTCTGTGCTTAAACTTGTGCATAGCAAATATTGCTCCATTAGTGACTTGTCCAGGCACAATAAGGTTAACTATTAACAATTGGAATGACAGTTGGACCTATCAGGAATCATTTAGTACCCCTCATGGTGACGCACTTATATAGGAGCTTGGATTTGCTTTCCCTAATTTGGGGGAAATACTGCAAAGATGTTCAGGCAACTCAGTATCACGAAGTTACTATTGCTCTTTCTTCTTTCTCTTGCTGTAGTTAAATCTGATGAAACTGACTATGATGAAGATGAGGTTAGAATATCACTTATTTTATATGATAGCATGTTTTCTATTTCATCTAGATTAAAACATATTTCTGATTTGTATAAATAAAAGTTTGGTTTTCAACTTAATGTAAGAAAAACGTGCTGCACTTTTGATCATCTGAGTACATATTTTCAATTTCTCTCTTCATTTTCTTCTTCTTTGTCTTTATACAGGTAACTGATGCACCACCGGTAAGATTTGTTTTTTAAAAAAAATTTTTTAAGTTAAAACATTTAGCATATAGTGGTTTATGCTTGTTTCTGTGGTAGACAGCATTCTGGTAATGTGTTAATAGTGTCTTATCAAATGCCTTAATGCAGAAAAATCTTTATACAGAAAAATTAAACTTGTCTGAAAAATTTAAATTCGAAAGCAAATTTTATTGTTACTAGGAATGAAATCTGGTAGGTATAAGGGGAACCAGTTGATTTTATAGACATTTCTTCAGCGTCATTTATAGTATCCTTAGTGGTTACGGTTTTAAAAAGAATGTAAGAAAAAAAAATGTGAAAGTGTTCATTCCTATAGTTAAGTGAGTGGAATATAGAATCATTTGTCTTGATAATGCACACTGAAGACATGTTAAACAAAAACCTATTGTGAGCAGGTAATCACGGAACTTTTCAGAAATTAAAAAATATTCCATATTAGTCTAAAAACTATTAAATGTTTTATTACGCTCAATAGATACTTGTAAATAAATTTTTAAAACTTTGTGGAATGAAATATGGTATTAGATTACTTATTTACCAATAAAATGTTATACAAAATATATGATTAACATTGATAATCCATATAGCTAATATGTACATATATATGTTATCCAGTGGTGGGTTTAAAATTTTTTTAGAACCTCTTCTGTAGGTGTGGCCTGCTTTGTGGGAGTGGCTTGCCAGCCATGTGACTGGGTGGGAGTGGCTTGCCAGTCATGTGACTGAGTGGGAGTGGTTTGGCAGTCATGTGACTGGGTGGGCATGGCCAACTTGTAAAATGTGGTGAAACTCACTTAACAATGGTCTTGCTTAGCAACCAAAATGTTGGCTCAGAAACTCTGGCATTGAAGTGTGCAAGTCTTAAAGCTATCAAATTTCAAGAACCTTGCACCCCTAACCCTTTAGAAAAAAAACAACCAGGGGTGTTCAAACTTGACAGCTTTAAGACTTGTGGACTTCAACTCCCAGAATTCCTCCTCTTGCTCTTCATGATGCGGGGACAGGCAGTGGGAGGGAGCTGGAACCGGTTTTAAACGGCACTGTAGATTTGTGGAACCTCTTCTATAGAAGAGGTTAGAACTGGCAGGAATCCACTCCTGATGTAATCTAAGAAAGTAAAAAAATTGTTTCTCTTCATAGTTGTAGCCATAGAGCCTCAAGTTCTTCAGTCACTGTCTTTTATTTTAAAGTACAAAATATTTTAACTGCTTTCCATGTTTTTTTTCCAAATTTATCTTTTGTTGTATAAAATGTTGTGTGAGAAATTTTTGGCGATAATACCAATCACTTCCATGATTTTTGAACTCTGATTTCTTATATCCAGATTCACAGCCCACATCCATAGAACCGTGTTGTTCCTGAAGTAGATATAACCCATAAGACCTTCATGTCTTGAAACTTTTCCTGGCTATTTTAAACTGATTTTTATATCTTGCAGCTTTGTTTCTTTTTCCTTTCTGCATATGTAGATTTTTACATTTCATTTGTCTTGGTACGGTAATTTATTCTTAGGTCATCTGTTTAGTTAAAGTTGGGTTCCATAATCGGAGTCTGGATGAAATCTGAATGACTTCTACTGGTCTTCCATTTTTTTCTTTCTTTCTTTTTTAGCCTAGCAATGATATTTTTAGGATTAAGCTATCTAGCACACTCTTTTTCCCAACAAATATATACTGTGTGTGTGTATGTGTGCGTGTATATGTGTGTGTGATATTTGACAGCATTAAGCAGAAGGAGGTCAAGTCTTTCGCCATGCTATTTTTCTCTTTTAGTCATATAGTTAGAGGCTACTTCTCTTCCATGTGGTTTCAGATCAACTTTTATTGTGCATTATATTGAACAATTCAAATATAAGTCCTGCCCACAGACACATTTTAGAGATGTGTGTTACTCTCTGCTTCCTTCAACAAATTAACATTTGAAATGAGATTCCCCCTGCATTCGGTGTAGCTCCCACCCTGATGGTGTTCCATGAAGCCTTCAAGACATAGTTATTCTCTCAAGCCAGGGAGTGAGATGGAGGGGCTCCCTGACTGGGCGTCCCTGCATGCCTATTACTTTTCTGGTCTGTATATTGTGCCCAAATCACATTTGAGTTTTGGCTTGTCTTGGTTTTTAATATTAGTATTTGTGAGCTACTCAGAGTCAGTTGGAGTTGGACAATGTCTGAATTAAGTAAACAATCTAATACATAAACATGTTTCAGCTGGAATCCTATTTTGCATTTTTTAAGAATAAATCTCATTGAATGAATGGGTTTTACATTTGACTAAATTAACAGGACTAAATTAATTTGTTAATGTTAATGCTGTAAACCTTCAGCTCAACCCGTCATGTTTGCAATCATAAATCCATTTGTTTGAGACTAATAGAGCTTTTCTCTGAGTAGATGTATATTCTGAATTAGTACTCTGCAGTTGTGCATACTATAATAAGAGAAGACAACAACTCTTTGAAAGAAGAGATGGCATTATTCTATGGAATTATGGATTATTACTTGTTTGTGCCTTAATCTTTTTTTCTGTGGATGGAAATAATTCATACTTATGTTACCTAATCAATATGGTTTGCGTAGTTCCCCAAATCATGATTTTTTAAAAAATATTGTTGAATAAGATGCATTGTACTAAAACATAAGCAATATAAACCATTGCTAACAATCCACAGAAGATGAATTAATACTGCACCTTAAATTAAAACCAAACCAATGATATTGTGCCATAGTGCAATTTAGGAATCTAGCTATTATTGTTAATCATCTAGTAAAAAAATTAAAATGTTAATTAGGTATTGTTTCTAATCATCTCCATACAGTCTACAGTACAAGTTAATTATTATTTAATTTGACCAATTAGTTTCCATGAAAGAAAACTTAACAGGCTTATTATAAAACATTAAATCACCAAGAGTATTCATGTATCATAACTAAGGTACTGAAGTAGGATCTGGAATGATTGGTGTCAACTTGATGTCCCAAGGAAAATCAGGATATAAATCTAACAAAGTAAACAAAAAACAAAAAACAAGAAAAACACAGTACACATAAATATTCAAAAAAGCATGGCACAATTTGTTTTACATGAGTTTGCCTCACTTTTTTTTGGGGGGGGAGAATTTGATTATCTGTGTTTTTTGCTAGAAAATTTCTCATCTTGAAAATGCTTGATGGTTTGCAATTTATAACAGTATTTTTCCTTGATGCTAAATAGATTGAAAATAAAGGTGAGGCGGTGGATGCACGAGGTCATAGGCCTTTGAACAAGAAACGGGATCCACTTCCGACTCTCAGGCCAGTTCCCCTCCCTCCTGTTGGTGGTGTGAGATACCGAGCACGTCCAACCAAAAAGCCTGTTACTGGTGCAAGGCTAGGCCCCATCGTTTACCCTGATAGTGGTGGTTGCAAACACTTGGCAGAGGAACTGGTAGGTATTAGTTGTACTGAGGTAGAGTTGGGCTGGAATATTTAAGACTAAACAATATGTTGCTTTCATTAAAGTTTCTTTTTCAGATTTACGGCACATTTTCTTGAATAGAATGTTTATGTGCAAGCCCATGTATTATTTCCTCTGGACAATAAACCATTACAAGTAGAACACACATACGCCCACACAAACATAGATTCCTAGGAAGATTGTTTCAAAACACACAAATTAGGTCATTGCAATTATAATTGTTTGAGTATATCTTCTCTTTCATTATTTGTCTGATACGATTAAATAAGTGGCAGAGAGGTCAACATGTCCTTCCTCATAGAACTCCATGAGGCACCAAGTTCAGAATATTGTTGGACTCATTTCCTGCAACTCTGCTTGAAGAAGGAATGGGCAGGACCAGATATCTGAGTTTGATCCATTATTTTTTTTAATCCTTCCAGTGATCTTTGATGGCACCATGGGGAAAAGGGTTCCATATTTCTGCAAATCCCCATGAATAGCACACTTAGTCTCACAAAATCCCTAGAATCAGTGGTGGGATTCATATAATTTAACAACTCTGCCCTAATGATTTCTTCCAACAACCAGTTCACCAAACTGCTCAGAAACTTAACAACTGGTTCTCCCGAAGTGGTGGGAACTGGCTGAATCCCACCACTGCATAAGATCCACAAAAAGTACTCTTCATATCATAAAGGATTATTATTTGGAAAATATTACTTGTATTGCTGCGAGATGTTGTTGAGAGGAGAGATTTTTATGAGGCTCATAGCAAAATAGAAAATAATTAAGCTCTCTCAATCAGATTGTTCAATGTAGTTTTGATAACAAAGAGAGCTATCCTGACAGTTACTCTTTGCAATTTTTGAAGGTTATTTTATCATTTCTAATTTTGAATTAACCTATTGAATTTGTTGTTCTTTTTAAGGGTGTATTATGTCCAACAGGTTGTGAACTGAGAACCGAACTATTGAAGCAAGAAAACACAGTGAAGCCAACTGTTAAGGATCTACTAGACAAAACAAAGAATCTACATCAGTCCTCCACAACTATCCATACTTATGCCCATTTATTGGATGAACGTTTAGCCCAAAAGCAGAAACAATATAGAGGTAACATGTCCAACAGTAAATTTGGGCAAAACTGCCTTGTTTTCATCATGAAAGTTTTGTTTTTAAAAAAAGATGGGGGGCGGGTAGCAAAAAATATGAAAAGGCAAATACATTCTGCACCTATTTGGGAGAACCTGTTGGTAACTTTCTAAGTAGTTCAGAGAACCGATTGTTGGAAGAAATCTCCTTTTGTTTTTTTCCACTTTACAGGGCTAATCCTGTAAGGAAGGCAGGAAGGGAACATTCTGGTGTTGTTTCTAGCCTAATCTTTATTGACCTGCTATAGAAACTGCCTTTCTGGTTAACCCTTATTACATTGCAACAGTTAAGGCGAAGTGCCCATTGACCTGAGTGACCTTGAGTTGGCCAAGCCCACCCAGTCACATGACCATCGAGCCCCTCCTATCCAGATAGTCATTAGGGCAGAGAACCGGTTGTTAAATTATTTGAATCCCACCACTGATGAGAAGCAAAATGTCTTCAAGGAAACACCCCCCCCCGAAAGTCCAATTGCCTTTTGAAAAAAAATCTTTGGGGCAACCATGACCTAGATGACTGAGAATCTCCATAGACACATGATCTAAGCCAAAAAAGGTGACAAGTGATTTATACTTAGTAAATAAAGCTTATATGTGTTTGCTTTAATATCTGTAAAAATTAACTTTAATCAGTGTCGCATTTTCTTTATAGTTATACAATAGGTATCATAAATAACAGTTTTCTAGTATAATCTTGTATTTATTTAAAAGTGAGTTCTGTCTTTGGTTGCAAAATCTGCTTGTGAAATTTGACATGCACAGTATGCCAAATTTGTCACATCAGTTGGTTCCTAAACTGAGTAATTAGTAATTCCCAACCTGGGGTATTAAATGCTTTTGACAAACATTTTCTTTCATTTTTTGACCATTAACCAATTCTTCCTGGGAATGATGAGTCCTTGAATAATCTAGGAACCCAAGAGTGAAAACTACTTAAATTAATATAATAATACCAGTCGAGTTCTCGATCCAGTAATCATCTGTGATCTTTGTTTAAGAGGAAAAGAGAAAAAAAGTTTTGGCCTTGGTTTATAAAACTGCAAAATTGTAATTATTTATGTAGTATATAGTGCCACCTGTTCATAGAAATTTACATAGATTGGGAAGCCTTTTATCCTGGAGCTTTAGAATCTAGAAATAAGCATAGTACAGGAATTAGAAGAACATGGAAAGTCTTAATATCTAGTTAAATGTATTTTGTTGTTCTTTTTAAAAAGCTTGCCTCCTCTTCACATTCATTTCTCGTTTTTCTCCAGATAATCAGAATTTAATTTCCCAATATAACAGAGAACTTGAGGACCACTACATTTTCATCAAAGAGAAATTAGATAACAACATTCCATCCAATTTACGACTTCTTCGTTCAGTTGTGGATACTCTGAACAAAAAGTTGCAAAAACTAGAAAACGCTATTACGGAACAGTTGTCTAAATGCCAAACCTCTTGTACAGTTTCTTGCAATGTCCCAGTTGTGAGCGGCAAAGGTAATGTTTCATTTCTCCCACTTGCTTTGCTCTTACAAATGAGACCGATTCTTAGATAGCTTAGACTGCTGCAATTATGGAGAGATCCTTACATTTCAATCTCCTGCAAAATTAACATTGCTCATTGCTTTGTATCAGTGTCGTACCTCTTTGGATTACCAACATTTGTCCTGGCTAATTACACTACCTAACACTGCATAACACTGATGCACTTTTTGAATCCACATCCCTAGATTCTCATGTTGTCCCTCATGGCCCTTGTAACTGGCTGTTGACATTTCTGAGATAAAAATGAAAATCTTTGAGGATTACAAGCCAATATGGTTAGATGTGAGACCTGTGATGTATGAAACTAGAGTTATGTGTAGATGGGCTACCTTTTTACTTTGATAGCCTCCTCCTTTCCTTCCTTCCCGGAAAAGGAGAAGTTCTTTGTGACTACGGAGAACATTTGAAATTCAGTTAACAAATGCTGCATTTATAGCTTCACAAGTTACCTTTTCTAGCTGCAGCAACCTGGCTGTTGTTCCTTTCCTTCCTCTTATTTCTCAACCGTCTAGAGCAGGGGTAGTCAACCTTTTTATACCTACCGCCCACTTTAGTATCTCTGTTAGTAGTAAAATATTCTAACCGCCCACCAGTTCCACATAATTTATAAAGTAGGGAAGTAACTTTACTTTATAAAATTTATAAAGCAGAGTTACAGCAAACCCCTACCGCCCACCATGGAAGCTGAAACACCCACTAGTGGGCAGTAGGGATCAGGTTGACTACCACTGGTCTAGAGGAATATGTAAGAACTAATTCTTGGACTTTTAAGTTAATACCACATATTCTAAAAGTATATCTTTATCCTTGCGTTTCATGGACTTATCTGCACAGGTAGTCTGTCAGGAAAGCTTTCATTCAAACATTGTTTGAAGTTAGACTTCGCCATAGCACAACAGAAAAGCTTGACTCCATAAACTCATTGCCATATTCAAAAACAGCAGAAAAAAAATCATAGATATGACATGGCTTGATAAATTCCACTAGTTTGGATAAGAAAGAAGTCAGGTATACACAGAGAATTTGTCTAACGCGGAAAAAAGCAATAAAGATCTATCAGCCTCAAAATTTACATCTGAGACCTTTTCCTCACACCCTTCTTTGGTTGTTTTTCCCTTAGCCTTGAGAGTTGGCTACATACAGTATGTTTCATGTACGGTATATATAATAGTTATTTTTTTTACCTCAGCACTGACAGCATCTGTGTGGCCAAATTAAATCCTTACAGTGGGATGGGCAGAAGAATTTCCAAATTAGCATTTCTAAAAATGCATTTTAGTCCTAGGTGAGGCAGAGATCTCAAAAGCAAGCAGACACTTGAAAACACTCGGATAGGTGTTTTCTGCAGATAAAAATCTTCAAGTTCTTCCCTTGCAGTTTTAATTATGTTGTAGATTTCTGTGGTTTACTTATTCCTCTGTTCAGAACATTTTTGTTGCTGACTAAACGATATAATGTGCTTCTGTTTGCAGAGTGTGAAGACATATATAGAAAAGGAGGTGAACGGTCTGAGTTGTACCTTGTTCAGCCTGATCCTTTCGTTAAACCATTCAAAGTGTATTGTGATATGACCACAGAAAGTGGAGGTAATTGTTAAGCTAATATCCTTAATCAAAACGGTTTCACATGATGGATCCACCAACTTTATAATATTCACTTCCTTCTTCAAGTATTGTATGTATACAATGATAAGAGGAAAAAAGAAAAAGAAAATCCACTTCCAAATGCTGGGATCTTTTTGTCTCTACGCAACAGACTGAGCATAGAAGGATAGGGCACATGGTTGGCTAGCGTAACAGTGATAACAAGGGGGAGTACATTCAGAGTGAGAACTCTACAAAGGGCATCTTGTCCCTTCCCCACCCTCCAGTTATGGAGCTTTATGGAAATATTTCAAGAAAGTGGGTTATATAATAGTTATTAATAATTGTTATCATTTTGAACAGGTTGGCTTCTAATTCAAAACCGCCAAGATGGGAGTGTTGGGTTTGGAAGAAAATGGGATGCATATAAAAAAGGTTTTGGAAATATCGCTTACAGTGGTGGAAAGAACTATTGTGACACCCCAGGTAAGAATCTGTTTTCCAGCAGTGTGTATCCGTACATAGTTAACAGTTGCCAATTTTGCTGATGCAAAAGGTAACAGATATTTCATTCTTCTTTAAATGATTTTTATTTTATTTTATTTTTTATTTTATTTTTTATTTTATTTTTTATTTTATTTATTATTTTATTTTTTATTTTATTTTTATTTTATTTTATTTTTTATTTTTATTTTATTTTTTATTTTTTATTTTATTTTTTATTTTATTTATTAATTGTATTAATTGTATTAATTGTATTAATTGTATTAATTGTATTAATTGTATTAATTGTATTAATTGTATTAATTGTATTAATTGTATTCATTCATTTTATTCATTTTATTCATTTTATTTATTATTTTATTTTATTTTATTTATTTATTTTTATTTGATTTGATTGAAAAGTTAAATTACAAAGTTTAAAAAAAAGAAAAAAACATTCACAGAAGCAAACAAACAAAAAACAAACAAAACAATAACAAGTGCATAAAAATAACACAAACACATATACATATGGCTCCAGTTGAATATTGATAAATATATTACAACAATATTAGTTTCCCACCCTTTACCAAACAGGCTCAATTTTTTTTCAAATGTCTTATTTTATTTACAAATTATTAATCTGTCCTCTATACTATATTAATGGCCCAATAGTTAACAGGTAGAACAACAAATAAACAAAGCAAAAATAAGATTAAATTTTCAAAACCCTCTGTAGTAAACTGTTACTTTATTTAATTCATACAAAATTGACCATGGCTTCATACTTTAATCTATCTGAAGTCATCCTAACTTTTAACTCTGATTCATCCTGGATCAATAATCAATTATTGTTTGTTAATACCACCTCTTATCAATTGTTGCCTGGTTAAATATAATAGATCCAGTCTATTCTATTATTAATCTAACTAAAGTTGATCTATCTTCTCCCAAAAGTCCAACTGAACTTGCTTTTGAGTTAAGTACGATAAATCAATTCACCATCTATTTCAATCTTCTTAGAGAAAACCAGTTCATTAAGCTTTTTACTGTTATAAAAGAGGGCAATCCTGAACTTTTCTATAACATCCATATCTGCCTCAATCTCCTTCACCAATCTACCATTTTCAAATCAAATTTCTTTTGTGAATCTAATTTCCTTGCATTTACTCCAGTTACTTGCATTTCAATGTTTTTTGCGATCATTACTTGTCAACTATTTAAAAAAGTATTCAAGTTGGGTTTCCATATTACCAAACTTTTTTTTAAACTATGGTACCAGCCATTTTTCCTTGTCAGTAATATGATACATTGTTTGCTCTGGTGTAACTTGTGAAGTATTAGTACCACTTTATTAAGCCTTAGTATGGCCACACTTGGAATACTGCATCAGGTTCCGGTCACAAAACATAAAAAAATATGTTGAGACTTAAGAAAGTCTTTGTCAAATTGCTTTGACCTCAATAAAAAGAACATTCAATAGCAATAGCAATAGCAATAGCAGTTAGACTTATATACCGCTTCATAGGGCTTTCAGCCCTCTCTAAGCGGTTTACAGAGTCAGCATATCGCCCCCAACAATCCGGGTCCTCATTTTACCCACCTCGGAAGGATGGAAGGCTGAGTCAACCTTGAGCCGGTGAGATTAGAACCGCTGAACTGCAGATAACAGTCAGCTGAAGTGGCCTGCAGTACTGCACCCTAACCACTGCGCCACCTCGGCTCTTCAAGTCACCAGTCACTACACGTTGTCCTGCAATTTTTTTAAGTATGCACTCAGAATACTGGAAAAAGTAAATAAGGACATATAAATCATATTTTTCATATTTTTCATACATCCACAACTGGGGTGGCTTCCGGAAGTCACTATTGCCAGTTTGCTGGTGGGTGTGCTGCGTGCGCATGCTTGATAAAAATTGTTCTGCGCATGGGCAGAAGCAAAAAATAAGATGATAAATGGTTTGGGGGTGTGGTAGGCCTGAATCGCTGCTAGTTCCAGCGACCCAGGCTGCCAAACCACTACTGGTTCGGCCAAACCAGTCCAAACTGGTAGGAACCCACCACTGATCCCGAATGACTTTGGTCCAGTTATTATGGTACAGCTGTATGACAGATTGAAAACACTGCTTAAAATCTGATGAAAAGAGATTCAGGGGATTTATTTTGTGTCATAGGTGAATATTGGCTTGGAAACGACAGAATCAACCAGATTAGTAAATTGGGGCCTACTGAACTTTTAATTGAACTGGAAGATTGGGATGGCAATAAAGTTAAAGCTCACTATGGAGGCTTCAGTATTCAGAATGAAAACAGCAAATACCAGCTCTCCGTTAGTAACTACAGGGGCACAGCCGGAAATGCACTTTTAGAAGGAGCTTCACAGCTATTTGGTGAAAACAGAACAATGACCGTCCATAATGGCATGTTCTTTAGCACTTTTGACAGAGACAATGATGGATGGTAAGTATATGCTTTTTTCATTCAGTTTCTTTATAGTTTTATATAGCAGGTCCACAAAAAAGTCTTTGAAATATATTTGCAAATCATCCTCCTGCAGAAGATTTTTTGGGGTAATTTTTTTTCCCTGTAGTTCTTTCTGAATGAGCTCAGATGAACTCAGTGAAATTCATTACAGAAATTCATATCATTTGTCCAATTTTTATCCCATGTTTTCTCTGGGAACTCAAGATTGGAGGAATACGGTTGTATTTTTTTTCTTCCACTTTTCTTCTCAGCACATCTATGGAACAAATTAGGCTATGAAAAAGTGACTGGCTGAAAGTCACCTAGTGAGTTTCCATGATTGAGCTGGACTTGAATCTGTCTCTTTGATCTTAGTTCAATAGGAAAACCATTTTAACTCTTCATTAGAGCTATACAGTGTTGCTTTTCTGTCTGGAAAAGATTATAAAGAATAGGCAAAAAGTAAAATTATGAGTATCTGATATTCCTTTTTTGGACAGCTGATCTTCTGGAGCAGTTGCATTGATTAAAACAAGTAACCTTATCTAAGTAAAATACGGCCGTTTCTTATTGTCTTATATATAGCAATGCTTTGTTAAAGCAGTACTTCACATTGTTTTGTTTGGGATTTAAGAAAGTTTCAGGTACAGTAAATACTAAATAAATGCACTTTATTGGGAAACCACTGCAGCCACTTTATTAAACCACTGTAATCAAAACTGGAGTGTTTCTATTATTTTTATTATGTGTGTGTTACAGCAGTGGATATATACACATAGTAAGATAAGGGAAGATGCATAGTATATATTTACATTTCAGTTATTGGTATCTATTTTTAAAATGTTTTGTGTATTTAATTCACAGGATAAACCCAGATCCCAAAAAGCAATGCTCTAAAGAAGATGGTGGTGGCTGGTGGTATAATCGTTGTCATTCAGCCAATCCAAATGGCAGATACTACTGGGGTGGACAGTACAACCCAGAAATGGCAAAACATGGAACAGATGATGGAGTTGTATGGATGAATTGGAAAGGTTCCTGGTATTCACTCAAACAAGCCAGCCTGAAGCTGAGACCAATTTCTCAGTAACAATGATTATTTAAATAAATAATTGCAAGTGTCTGAGATCAGGTCTGTTTCACGATACTCAACTTTTACCTTGCATAGAAGCAGTGGAGAACAATAAAACAATTCTTCCTTGGTGATTTCTTTAAAAGCATTTTGATGAAAATGGAAAGACCATGCTGGAAATGCCTCTACCAACCGATTAAAACAATGTTATTTGTGATGTACAGAGGGGCAGTGCTGAAACCTACATTTTGCTAAATAAATATTTTATCCTAATGTCTGCCCATTAGCTTACTCACTGAAAAATAGATTCATAGGTAGTGAGGTTTTGTCTCACATTTTGTTGGAAATTCTTAATAAAGCAAGCCAAGTTCTATGGACAGGATGCTTAGTCTTTCTAGCTTCCTTCTTAGTATGCAAACATGATTATACCATCTGTTTAAAACAATATTTTCATATCTTTCGTTTTACATTGTTCTCATAGCTCTTAGTATATTTCTGATTTCTTTTTAATCATTGGAGACTAAAACACTTCTGGATTTATACCATAACTTCTCAAGCCCTGCAAGGCAGGTTAGAGGAATATTAAGGTTGGGAATTTCATTTTCAATATATTTGTAATGCACACATTACACCCAATATTAGATAAAGGTAAAGGTTCCCCTTGCACATATGTGCTAGTCGCTCCCAACTCTAGGGGGCGGTGCTCATCTCCGTTTCAAAGCTGAAGAGCCAGCACTGTCCAAAGACGCCTCCGTGGTCATGTGGCTGGCATGACTAAGCGGTAAAGGTGCACAGAACGCTATAACCTTCCCATCAAAGGTGGTTCCTATTTTTCTACTTGCATTTTTACATGCTTTCGGACTGCTAGGTTGGCAGAAGCTGGGACAAGTAATGGGAGCTCACTCCGTTATGTGGTGCTGGGGATTCGAACCGCCAAACTGCCAACCTTTCTGATCGACAAGCTCAGCATCTTAGCCACTGAGCCATCATGTTAGGAAAATGTTAGGAAAGCTTTATTAAATTTATTTGCTGCCCATCTTGCCACCAGGAAACTCTGGGCAGCTCACAACATTCACACACACACACACACACACACACACACACGCACACACACGGAACTGCTATTAATCAACCACCTCCAGTGATATTCCCCAAAGGACCTCCAACTGACAGGGCCAGGTCTTCAAGGTCTTTCAAAAAGTCAAGTGAAAACAACATGCATGATCCCAGGTTGATTTCTGGCATCCCTAGTTAAACGAGACAGAATTAAGACAGATCTCTGATAAGGTTATTAGAGAGCTGAAGTCTCTCCGAGGTAGCAGTGTAAGGATGTGGATCTATGTTTAGACAGGGTATGAGATAAATTCCTAGAATCATGTCATGCTTGTCAGCAGATTGTAATGGTTTTATAAACAAAGCATGTTTGCTTCCAAGTACGTCCTGCTGTCATCAGTGAGATTATTCTGTGGAAGTATAGCCTCATTTTCTAGCATTAGGTTGATACTTATCAGATAATAGAGTTTAGTATTTTCAAGATACTGTTGACTTGGTTGCCTCTTTGATCCGATGACAAGTTTCTGTCATTTCCCCCAATGCTCCAAAAATGCTACCATGACATTTCTTCAGAGGAGGTTAGTTGAAATGATGAGTAGCCTCTTGGTTCCAGTAAGAACATAGAAGTATCTTGGTGGATCCGGACATTCTTCCATCTAGTCTAGATGTCTGTGCTACATGGGGGCCAATTGGTTGCATTTGGACAATGCACAAGTCTGGGTTAAAGGATATACCCCTTCCACTGTTCATCTGTATGTATCACACATACATACCAGTGGTGGGTTCCGGATCCCATTGCAACCAGTACAGTGCAACGGGGCCCAGCGTCTTCCACATGAACGTGTGCAGTGCATGCGCACATGCATGCAGCATGCGCATGTATCCTTACTTCTGCGATGCTCTGCAATGCCTCCACGACGCTCCAGCTACTCAGCGGAGTGTCGCGCAAGCACAGTTAGCAATAGCAATAGCAGTTAGATTTATATACCGCTTCATAGGGCTTTCAGCCCTCTCTAAGCGGTTTACAGAGTCAGCATATTGCCCCCAACAACAATCCGAGTCCTCATTTTACCCACCTCGGAAGGATGGAAGGCTGAGTCAACCCTGAGCCGGTGAGATTTGAACAGCCGAACTGCAGAACTGCAGTCAGCTGAAGTAGCCTGCAGTGCTGCATTTAACCACTGTGCCACCTCGGCTTTTCCTGTTCGCTCCATGCGTGTGTGCGTAAGTGCCGAATAGCTCAAATACTGGTAAGGAGCGTGGGCAAGTGGGCCCTCCGGAGCAGCGTACCAGAAGAGTACCGTACTGGGGTGTACCAGTCGTAATCCACCACTGAGACATACCCATCACACTATTTCCATTGAATGTTGTGCAAATCAACAAAAAACTCTGGCAAAGTCATTAAAAGCTTGAGATAAACATAATTTTAAAAACCCAGCTAAAATGTATTTAGCCATAGCTACATTCACAAAGTACCTCGTTGTTACATATAATGCCCTTTCAATTGGAATTCTATCAAACTCTTTCCCAGGCACATACCATATAATAGTTTAAATCTCTTGCAGCTTTTGTAGGGCTTTATTTTTGCATTCCTGCTACTATTCCTTTTATATAGAAGAACAGTATTTAACATTCTTCCAGTCATGAGGCCTCGATGCAATCTTATATGTTGAACAAATTATGCCCACTTTCCTCTGGCAAAGCACATTAGTATTTTAATATTTTTCCAGTTACTATTTCTTTGGATATTTCACCTGAAGTCTTATCATTCTATTATTTCCTATTCATCTCTTTTTAAAACAGAGTAAGTAAGTAAGTAAGTAAGTAAGTAAGTAAGTAAGTAAGTAAGTAAGTAAGTAAGTAAATAAGTAAATAAATCTTTATTACGGTCAAAGACCAGCAATACACATTAGTTTTTACAACATGTTAAAAAGTACTGACATTAAGATATAATTAAAAAGTATTGACATTAAAAGTGGAAAATAACATACATGTTCTCAGATTGTTCGGATCACTCCCTGGTTTACCTGGGTGCAACGCTGTTAAGTATAGGATAGAAACTAATTACATTATTTTCAATTCCATTCTTCAGTACATCACTCTCGTTTTCATATAAATCCTTAAACTAATTGTTCATTTCAGATTCATCCCAACTTTTTTCATTTTTGAAAAAAAATCAATTTAGTTTCTGGATGTTTATTTATCTCCCCATTTTGGTCCTTATTCATCTTGTTTTCACCCATTCATTGCATCTCTCAGAAGAATAATTGTTCTGCTACTTCATCTTCAATTGTTTTCCAAAATTTCTTCCATTTCTCATTATCATCACTCATTGGAGTGTAACAAACATCACCTATGGATTCCTATTTCCTTATACGTATACTATAGCCAAATTACCTATATACATTTTAGCCCTTTCATTCATAATTAAAACTATCCCTTCACTTCCCTACCTCTATTAATCATTTCCACTCCATGGGTTCAGACAACATTAAGATCTAGTCATTGAGTTTCCATGGTTCAAATAGACCTGAAGTTGGGTTTTGTCAAAATTCAGACACTTAACCAATATAATATTCTACATCTGAGTTTGTTTGGGGGTCTTTGTAAAAGATTTTGTCAAAGACTACTTAAAAAGTTCATGCATACAGTATATGTTAATATGCTCTTATGTGCATATTTTATTGAAATCCTCAAAAAAATCTAGAAGGCAAGACAGCTTTATCTTTGGAAAAAACATGTAGTTTTCTTTGAAGAAAGCTTGTTCTTTGAGGTTTCTACTTATTTTTATAGTATATTAACAATTTTTATAACAGATGTTGAATTAGCAGCTTGCTTATTATTTCTTTAGCAACCCTTTTAAAAACCAGAGCCATATTGGATATTTCCCAATCTTTCACAGCAAGTGCAAAGGTTGTTGTTTTTTTTTAAAAAAAAAAATCAGCTATTCATATTTAAATTATTGAAAGAGTTTTGAAACAATATCATTTGGACCTATGGAACAATTTGTTTTTAGTTTAGTAGCCCCTGTGATTTATAACTTCACCCCTTACCTTTATTTGTCTCAATCCAATCTTGTACCTAAATAAATTAGCTTAGGAACTAAAAATGCCTGTATGTTCTGGTTAGAAACAGAAAAAGGAGCAGGAATGCAGAATTGTGAACAAGAATTTGTCATTAGTGGGCTAGATATTAGAGGAAATCCAAGTCTCTTTTTAGTGCTTGAAAGCTAGCTATGCATAGGTTCTAAATGAACATTATGCTCAATTGGAAACTATTTGTTATCTATTATGGTTATCTATTATGCCACCAACTCTATTGTGATTCCTAGGTTAAAAAACCTTTTTGTTCTCTGTTTGGTTTTTTTTTTAAATTTTTATTACATAGACAACACATACACACAATAAAAAAACAAAACAAGAAAAAAAACATCATCATATACAGCATGTTGTTTGGTTACAGGTGTTTTAACATCCATATTCTCGAATAATATTTACCATCTCAGATTTTTCATCTAGTATAACTAAATACCTCACTTTCATTGTACAGTATATGTTCAGTTACAATTAGTATTTTTTCCCCAGTAAATCATGATTCCCTTACATTCTTGATTGTCTATTTGATAACAGTATACCTTTATATAATCCCATGTGATAGAATTTTTTTTTTACCAACCATTTATATTTGTATATCACTATTTTCAATTATGCATAATTCCACCAATCAACTATCAGGTATGCTTATGTTCATTATTATCCTTGTACATCAAACATTCAAACAGAAATCTTATTCCTTCATTTTTCAACAAAATATTCTAAATAGTCACTACATATATATACCAATTTTCAATTATTCCCTTATTAAAATTATTTATCAACAACAAGATATCATTGTAGTATGTTCTTAACGTTATACATTATATCACCAGTCCTCTATCAAGTATACATAAAATCATTATTATCCTTATCCTTTTTAAAACAAAAAATTCTAAAGTATTCAATTC